CAAAATGGTATCAAAACATGAATGGACCTTAAAGATGGAATTCTGGGTCACTTAACATGGGCCACTTGAAGGAAGATGTTATGGGCATCTAAGTCAAATGCATTCTATGTTTGATCAGTTGCTTGGGCTCATGGCAAACTTTTGTTTGCTTCATGTATGGACATTCTTACTCAGCTTTGTAATTCCAGGACTTTCTAATGGCCTGTTTTTTTATGATGGGAGAAATATTTTTCTTTCGGTCAGCACTATAAATTATTCTCTGAATTACACAACCGTTTTGAATGCTTTATTAGGAACTGCTTTTAAGACCTGCTGTGCACCTGTCACCTTGAAATTTTTTTCCTTTTCTTCTTGGCATAATTCTACTTTTTCTTGGACTTTATATTTCCCTTTTTCTTAGCCTTATTTCTAATTTTGCTGGAATATATTTTGAAGTAAGTTTTCAGAAAGAGGGCATGACAGGCGCACTTTGAGCCTGTGCTTATTTGCCCTATACTTAGTTGGTAATTTGGCTGAATATGAAATTTTCAGTTCAGTGTCATTTTCTTACAGCATTTGAAAGGAACTCCTTTACTGCAGTCATTATTATTGAGTTTTGTGTCTTCATATGGACCTTTGGAAATGCAGAACATTTTCTCTGGAATATAGTGATCTTTCATGAGAATCACTTTTCCCCCCATTTATTCTGCTCAATACCTGTGGGCTTTTCCAATATAAAGACATGTTCTTCAGGTCTTGGAAATTCTCTTATTTCTTTCATTACTTCCTTTACACCACTTTCTCATCCCTTCTTTTTCTTTTCTTTTTTTTTTTTTTTTGGTATCAGGGAATCGAACTCAGGACCTTGTGCTTGCGAGGCAGGCAGCAGAACCACTGAGCTAAGTCTCCGGCCCCTTCTTTTCTTTTTTTAAAAAATCAATTCAGTAGATTGGTGTTTGGCCTCCTGTACTAAAACTATCTCATCAAACATTTTTTCTTTTCTCTTTTCACTCCACCTTGTTTCCTGGGAATTTCATGACCCCTTTTTTTCCTATCCTTTTTATTGACCTTCAGAGTCCAAAACCCCAAATTTTAATTGTAATATATTATTTTCCTTTTCATAATAATGTCTTTATTTCATGTATTTCATCAGTTTTCTAATATATTTGATTACATATTTTTTTCCACTGAAATTCTCTCTGGTTTCATCTTCATCAACCTCCTTTCCTTGTTTATTCTCTGCTCCTGCTTGCTTGTCCTTTCCAGGAGGAGTGTTCGCAAGTGCTGAATTTGAGGGTGTAGTATGTCAAAAAAACAGGTTTCACTCTGTCCAGGTGAGGGAAGCAGGACATGTTGAGGCTCCCCCAGTGCGAGAGCACTCCGCACTGAGGATGCCAGACCACCTGGCAGACAGTAGGTGTCTGCTGCTGCACTCATCAGCTAAGGAAGGGGAACTGGGCTGTGCACTGCTCTGCCAGCCGCATAGTGCAGCCTCTGATCTCAGCTCCTGCCAAATTCCAACTTTGCTTTTGTCTTCCCTCATTTGTCCCAGGCTCTGCTTTGGTTTCTCATGCTCTCCTCTCACTTATGAAACTCTTTAGTAGTTATAATGGTCTGGGATGGGAAGACATCTTAGTTCTTAACCTAGAAGCCCTGGGATATTACATTTAATAAAATGTATGTTTGAGAAAGAAATACATGTTTAAAAATGTTCAGAAAGTAAGGAAGGATGCAGGAGAAGCTAACCCTCCCTTGAACCCAGTCTCCATGTCTCCCAGTTTGCCTCTCAAAGGCAGCCCCTATTAGCAGTTTCCTGCTTACTTCCAGAGAATTCATGCTGTGCACATTTAAGGAAAAAGTCACTTTGGCAGTTTGTGTTAGTATGGGTGTGGAGTAAGAAAGGAGAGAAACTGGAGTCTGGGTATGCTCAAGTGACTGCAGTGGTGTGGACAGTGACTGAGGATCTGCACCAGGACTCTGGTGGGAAAGAAGGTGCAGAATGCTTGTTTGAGATAATTTCAGGAAGAAGCAGGATTTAGCTATTTGTTAAGGCTGAATCAGAAAAGAGGTTTATAGTACAGAGAGCGGACTTCTCTGTTGACTTTTGTAGTGGACAGGGTGGGGTTTTTACTTGCCTTAACCTGCTAACTACACAGAATCTGAATGCTTTGATTGTCCCTGTGTGGATGAAACATTAATAATTTGCCATCTCAGCCCAAGGATTTAGCTCAGTGGCACCATACCTGCTTGGCAAGCGCAAGGTCCTGAGTTTGATTCCCGATACCAAAAAAATAAATAAAAATAATAATTTGCCATCTCATGTGTGTTCCCCTTTCCCCTTATTCTCTGGCCACCAGAGGGGTTTTGACATTTAACAACCTAAAGTAGTTTTTACAGTAGCTATTGAATATGCACTGTCTCTACTCCTGTGGAGGAAAGGTAGAACACTATAGACACAGCAACCAAGGCAAGCTGATGAGCATATCTGTCGGGGCCAACAGTGTTTTTTTTTTCAACTAAACATTTAAAAAAATCAACACTTCCCCTGCCTCCATCCATGGCTTTTCTTGAGAAGTCATAAATCTGGCAAAACTGTCTTTGAGGTAACTGGCTAAGGCTGAGCAGCTCCTGCCCCATCTAGACTGGCCATGCTGCCTCACATGGCCACATTCCCTGCTCAGTGCACATCTACTGCCACCTGCCCTCTTGTGTAGTTACAGCTAGGCCCTTCTAGTCCTATGTTGTAACTCTGGCTAGAAAGACTCCACTGTACAAGATTGCAAACTATCAGAGAAGCTGTTTCTATCTTGAAGTTTCTGTTAGTAAGTTCTAAGGTGGCATTGCACATCCCAGCACAAATGAGTGAGGTCAAATGGAAACTTTAATTGAATTGTTGAAATCTAATATAAGCAATAACAACATTTTTGTTTAAAAAGAAAGATAAAAAGCAAGTAGTACTGATTAAAAATTAAGTAAGAGAATACCTCTCAGCTTGGCCAGATTGATGTACGTTTTCCCAGTTTTGTGGCGAGCATACCTATCATTCACAAAGGTGGTAAAGTGACAACTGGAAACTCCTCCTGAAGTTTGGGGCTGAGATTAATTAACTTTATTTTCTTCTGAACAGTAGTGATTAGTTAACAGGCAGGAAACTGGAGCTGAAAAAAACTGTCCTGATTGAATTGTTAAAGCTGTACTCTAAGAAAGCCTTCTGGATAAATTCTCTGCCTCTAGTCAGAATGGAAAAGTTGTAAGCCCTTTGTGTACCAAAGCAGTTGGACAGAACATTGTCAGTTGAGAGTTTGTTGGAATGATGTACGCTAAATTTACCTGTTTTGGGGCCGTGTTTTTCTAAGACCATCCTCAGGAGTTCCCTCTGTGCATGTAAATCAACTTTCGACTGACCTCAAGATTCCAGTCATCAGAACTTAGGAAGAGAGGGAGTAGCATTACACATACTTGGAACTCAGCCCATTAGAAAAAGCCACATGCGTTTCCCAGTGTTAGCTGCCTTGTCTTCAGTTTTGAGTCACTGAACATTTGATCTGAATTCCCCACACCACTTGCATAAACAGTTCTGTGCACTTCTCAGGAAGTGTATGACATAACTTTGTGATTGATGTTAAGATTCCAATAGCAGGAAGACAGGATCACAGAAAAGGTCTGGTAACCTAAGTTACTTCAGAAGAAATATTTGTGAAGGAACATGTCTCAACATGTGAAAAAACAGATGTAGGGAGGCAATGGGGTGCAGTGAGGTGATGATGCAAGAAACATAGGTGGAATCCCAGCTCTGTCTCTATCATGTTGTGTGTCTTTTGGGCAACTTTCCTTCCTACCTCTCTTTCTCTTGTGTGTAAACTAAGGAGCTTGTACTAGACTATCTCCCATGCAGCTTTCCCATCCCTGACATCTGAACACTTACTCTTGTTATCTTTGCTTGAGAGATTAAGGTTCTTGGGGAAGGCACTTCTCGCTGACTCTCTCATCATCAGGGGTTAACAGTTTTCTCCCTTAACATAATGACGGAATGTCCTGTATAACTTAAGACCCTGGTAGGTCCTCACTGACCATCCTTAATTTCTGCTGTTACTGCCCCTATTTGAGACCCTAAAGGAAGCAGGGCTGGCCTCATAGAGAGATAATTTTTTATTTCTTGATTTTGTCTGGGTTTCAATATACCAGGGAAGCTCTCTCCCTCCCAGATGTTTCTTATTTGATGGCGTTTCCTGAAGTTCTGCAATATATTTATTACCTCCCCCCACCCAGCTGCATTAGAGTTTTAGTGTGTGTGTGTGTGGGGGGGGTTGTACCAGGGATCAAACTCCAATGCTTGGGTTTGCAGGGCAGGCGATGGAACCACTGAGCTAAATCCCCAGCCCTGCATTGGAGTTTTACGAGGCTAGTAACATGCAAGGTTAGAATCACAGAGGATTAGGTTAACAGATGGTAAAACCAAAGGCTCAAAGGTAGAGTGTGACACAAGAGACAGGAATCCTGGATAAGAGGGCCTGAAGGCCGCCTACAACAGTCTGATCACTTGGCCCTGCCCTGGTTCTGGTGGAGCAGGCCGAAAGTGAGATGGAGAATGCTGCTGTGCTTTCTGCCTCAATACCCAACAGTGGTCCATGTGTGGTACATGCTCTGAATGTACAGGCTTGGACACAGTTAGATTATCTAGTTTTATGGGGGTGGACCAGGAGGCAGGGAGAGAAGCTGCAAAGAAGAGCAAGTAGCCAATGGAAGAGCAGCTGGGAGCAGGCTGGAAAGAATTGGAACAGATCATAGCTAGAGGGTTTGGGTTTGGCAGACTATTAAGGAAATCTTGTCCCCAAAGAAAGCTATGAAGAGAAAGAATAAGATTAGGCTTGTATATTGGGGAGATGGGGCCACTGGGAACTGTTTTATTTTCTTTTTTTGGTACCAGGGATCGAACTCGGGTCCTTGCACTTGGCGAGGCAAGGCAGCGGAACCACTGAGCTAAATCCTCAGCCCTAGGAACTGTTTTTCTTCTGACTTACCTCAGTGAAGTCAGGGAATGTCACTGTTATCCATCCTTATCTCTCTGCTGACCTGAGCTTCATTTGGTCCTCAGTGGATCTTTATATTATGATTGGCATCTTTGGAGTAGAATGATTTCTGTAGAGTAAACAAAAGGGCCTCAGCTCCTTTTCCCATGAGCTCACCATTTTCTTTCTGAACCCACTGAGATTGTGGGATCCAATCAGGCATTTATCTGAGTGGGAAGGGAGGAAGAAATTGATCAAGAGACTGCAGCACAGGCACTAAGAGCCTCAGTGTTGTTCTGTCCTGTTCCTAGTGTAAAAACCCTTTTTATATCACGGCCTCACTGTTACCATGGGGTAAGAGGGTGAAATGAGCTTTGGCATTCTGGACCTTTCTTGATAAATGATCAACCAGACCTGATCTACCCCATGTCTTTTGGCATTTAGAAGGTCGAACAGGGTCACAATCCTAAGTACATTTAGAAAGCAGTACTTTATGTAGATATAAAATTCATTTTTATAATTTCATATTTACCCAGGCAGCAGTAACTGACAATAAAATTGAATATAGCACTCTGATATCCATGAGCTAATCACTTCATCCAATGTGTTATACTGTCTTACATGAAGCATTCCCCCTCATCTTTTCATATGTACTTTGTTTTTAACCTTTTCTTGAGCTTTTTCCGTCTTTACTTGTTTCCCTAATCTTTCCTGCTTCTTCCAGCCTTGATTATATTCATACTTCAGATTAAGTTCTTTAGTTTTCTGAGACAGGTTCTGTCTATGTTGCTCAGGCAAGTCTCAAACTACTGCGCTCAAGTAATCCACCTCAGCCTCCCAAATGCATCTGCCATACAGACACATGCCAGCATGCCTACTCTTGAGTTCTGAGACTACTTGGATGTTTCATTCACCCTCAAGGTTTGGCTCTTAGTTCTGAGTAATTCCCAGCACTATACTTCCTGGTGTCTTTTGCAGAGCTTTAGTTCCACATCTGATTTCACTTGCTTTCATAGATGACCACACCCTTCCCCTGTAGTTGCCTGTCCAGGTGTCCTGATCCCTTTTTTCTGGTCAGGGTGACAGCATTCTTCCACACATAGCTGTAGATCTTGAGCCTTGATTCCTCCATGCCCAGTTGATGTGGCCACATGCCACTGATCTGTCTTTTAGAATATTCTTTTTTACGCTTGTCCTTCCTTCATTCTTCTGTTTTTCTACCAGTCCCCATCATCTTGTACCTGTACTACTGAGTCTCCTCTTGGCTTTCCTGGCTTCAGTCTTCCTTTTTAACCCACTTTGTGATACATTTCCAGAACTATGCTCTTTAATGTACTGCTTTACATGTATATCACTTGTGTTTCTCCTAAAACTTCGAACTGAAGAAATACTTTCCAGTAGAAATCTTCATGACTGCTTGGAAAATAAAATTCTCACAGGTTTGTGTAGTTTTGAACCCAAACTGTCTTATCAGTATTAATTCTCACATACTTGTAGGCAGTGCTGTTGGTTACAGATTTTATAACATTTGCTGCCATAATGGGTTTTCTTTTCCTATATATTTGGGTAGTGTTTATATGAATATATACATCTGACGTTTGGGGAATAGTAGTAAAATGCAGCATTATTTTCCTAATTACAGTACTTTAGGGAGGTATCTTTTCCTTTTGCCTGGAAAATAAAGTTCAAATTCCTTAGCTTGGCAATAAAAGCATTCTTGTTTTTCCACTTCCTCCTCATCTTCATTCCCACTGCTCTCTGTTACTGAGGCATACTGTGAACCATGCCAGCCACCATCTTTGAATGCTGGTTAGGGTCTCTACTGCCTCCCCATCTCTTGCCTGAGTGATCTTCATCTGTGGTTTACTCTTTTCCATCAACAGCATTCATCTTCCTCAGTCGCTGCTGCTATTGGTAGACTCCCTCTTGTGGATTCCTGTACGAGCTTTTCCTTATTATATCATTACCTGTGTTTTATGTGTAGCTCTGTCTTCTCTAATTCTTGTAAACTGCCCAGGGGTGGGGGTCCTATCTTCAGATACTACATCTCTGGTGTCTGTCCAGCTCCGTTTTTTGCCACAAACTGGTTGAGGACAAAGGTAGAAAGAATGGGCTTTTTAGTGGGCTCAATAGTAGATTGAGTGAAGAGAGCCTCTAAAAGTCACAGAGAACCTTGCCATGTCTCTTAATCTCCCTGGGCCTCATAATTTAATATGCAGAGGGCTGGTCTATGCCATCTGAAGCCATTTTCCAAGTCCTAAACCTAATGTTACGTGAATAACTCCAATGATTGGATTTGTTGTTGTTTATTTTGTTTATTTGTGACAGGATCTCATTATGTAGGACAGGATCTCATTCAAGGCTGGCCTTGAATGCAGTATGTAGCCTAGGCTGGCCTCATATTCATTGCAGTCTTCCTGCCTCAGCTTCCCAACTGATGAGATCACAAGCATGCACCTCCACGCCAGGCTTTTTAAAATGATTGGATTTGGGAACACTGCAGTGCAGTCTTCTTTTTTGCCCCCTCACATGGAAGAGTGGTTTACAAATGAAGTGCATAACTTAATGAAGATAGCATGGAGTTCACAGAATAAAGTAGTAGGATTTTTCTTTTTCTTTTTTTGATTTTTCTTAGATATCAGTAACAAGACAGCTTTAAAAGATAAGAAAAAGCTGACAACTGGAGGAAAAAAGACATCTCTTAGGATTCATTTACTTTTCATTTGCAGGCTTTGTCTGGATCAAAGATAAAATTAGCTGTCTCTTTCCATCCCTCCAAATTCCTCCTTGAAGTGGCAAATAGCAGGCATTTACCAAAGTGTCACCAGGCCTTCCTATTCTAGAAATTAAATCCACCCCCACCCCAGACCCAAATCTGGAAGACATTGTGGAATTCCCTTAAGTTCCACAACACAACATCATGGCCCCTCTCTCAGCTGGGATAAACTTTTCCCCTTACATACCTCTTCCTTCACATCCAATTGAGATTTAACTTTTCATGAGAAATTGCTTTTGGACGAACGAAATTTTAAATGTAACAATTTAAAAAATATGTCAGTGACAAGGGATCTTATTTTACTAAATCTCTGTTTGGGGCCAAGAGTGTAGAAACATGTTTTAACTGTCTCTGGAACCCTAAAACTTCTGTAATCTGAGTTGCTTGGTGGAGTCCTGAAATTCTGGCTGAATGTTATTCTCCTTCTGTTCTTTTTCAGATTCCCAGCTAATAAACCATCTTTTATAACTAAATCTAAATGTCTCTTTTCTACTAAGACTTTATTCTTTTTTGTTCTCCGTTTTGCCCCTGGGAAATATTTTTGCTTAGGATCTTATCTCAAAGCCTTTATAACAAGATCTCTTTCTAAACCTCTGAAGTAACACTGTTCTCCTTGGCCTGGTGTCATGTGAAGCTCAGACCTCAGACATTGTCTGATCCCATTAGATGCTGATTACACTGTTGGCCCTTACTTACTCCTGGTGACTTTTTTCCTTTCAAAGTGGCAGTGGCTGTGATTGAATGGGTCTTAAATTGCCTCAGTAGGAATTCTTTATGGATGCCTTTGGATTTTCCACCATTTAGGGGAGGGGATAAGGAAAGGAGGAAATAGAAGTATGAAGCTTTGCCAGACATTTGTTACTGAAACTGAGAAGTTAAAACTGAGAAGCTGTACATCCCTTAGGAGGGCTGCAGAGTGGTAATACCATTTTAAAATTAACTGCTAAGAGTTTTGTTTCTTAACACTGGATTCCAAACCAACTATTATCCTGGTGGTATACTTCTTGGCTCTTTAGCCATGGTTTTTCCAAAAATGCTGTGGCAAGAGCTGAAATCTACTCTGATCACCCTTCTCTCTGACTAGATTGTGGAAATTAATGTAAAATGTTCCATTGGATTACACAAAAAAATCTAGATGATTTGGAGAACATAGAGAACATAAGAGGTTTTTTCTTTGACATTTTCCTCAAGGATATGTTGAGCCTCCTTGGGAAAAAGATTACTATTTTTTATGTACTTTCTAGAAGCAACAGCTTCCTAGATCTTTATTTTCACAGGTTTCTGTAGTTTTGAACCTACACTGTCTTATCAATATTAATTCTCACATACTTGTAGGCAGTGCTGCTGGTTACAGATTTTATAACATTTGCTGCCATAATGGGTTTTCTTTTCATATATATTTGGGTAGTGTTTATATGAATATATACATCTGGCATTTGGGGAATAGTAGTAAAATGCAGCATTGTTTTCCTAATTACAATACTTTAGGTAGGCATCTTTTCCTGTTCAGCTATCTTTACTCTCAACCCCCAATAGTAGAAATAGCAAACTGCAGAGTGAAATCATTTCTCTAGGGGGAGAGTAGACATGGATTTGCACTGATTTGGTTTCCTTCATTTTGGAGCCTGACATTTTATCTTTCAGACTAAGTAAATTCTCAGTCATGGGAGATACTCCTAGTAGCCAAATGTTGTATTTGGAAATGTTATTTAAAGCATTTTTTAAAAGCTGAGACTTCTAATGTTTCATAATGTATAAGCTAAACTTCAGAGCACATGTGAAACATATTCTTACTCCAATCCCAGTGATTGTATCAAGTATTGTATAATTTGGAGTAGTTCTTTCATTTCCTCAAAGTATAACTACTGGGGAAATCAAAATATATTTGTTCCTACAGGCTGGAAGTCTACTTGCAGAGGATTTAAGGATATTTATTCTAGGTGACCATTTTATATATTGTTCAAAGTTTATCAGTAATTCAGCCAAAACTTGTATGCACATTATGTAAGCTATTTGAGAGTGACAAAAGCATATTTCCATTTTGAAATTTATTAGATAAGCCACATCTATTGGAATCAATTCTTTAGATTTAGATAATTGTAATATTTTTGTATGTACTTTCTAGAGAATATCTTAACCAGATTTTTACCCTGGCTTGCTCCAGAGGTTTACTTTGAACGTTTATTCTGCCTGAGAGTGGATCTGTTTGCTGTTGCTAGGTGTCTAACTTCAGTGGTGTTTCAGTCCAGTGCACAGTACCCTGAACTGAATTTGAATCTGGGTCAAGCTGGGCGTTGAATGGGTAGAAGAAGCAGGGAGACACTGTTGTAGAGTGGGAAGGAAAGGAAAGCCAGAGGGAGATGTTAGCAGCTCTGAGAAATTCCATGTCGTCACTTGGCTGGAACATGGCGCAAGGGGAGGGCAGCTCTGAGATCCAAGCCCAGAGAGCCACGAACAACTGTCAAGGCCTTGAATGCCAGGCTGGGAGTGAGTAACATTCAGGAGCCAATGTCAAATTTTAAACAACAAAAAGGTGAAAACAGTACTTTTGAATTATCTTCTAGGAATCAAGGTTTGCCTCTCATGGAATAGTCTTTGTTTTTTTTTTGTTTGTTTTTTTTTAATACCATCTATTTATGTGTAGATGATTCATTCCAGAAAAGGGCTGGTGTAAATGCA